GGGCTGACCTTGTATGTCTACAAGAAACAAAGTTGGAGGTCGTTTCGAGGGCTGTTGTGTGCAGCCTATGGGGGGGACAGCATGTGGGGTATCAGTTTGCAGGATCATCGGGGGCTTTAAGAGGAATGTTAGTAATGTGGGATACTAGAGTTTTTGATATGGAGGATGTTAGTGAAGGGCTATGTTCTCTATCGCTTTCGTTTAGAAATATTGGAGATAGCTTCCTTTAGATGTTTATAGAGTTTATGTGCCTAATGTAGATGACAGTAGAGGTGGATTGTGGGATGAATTGGCTGGGATGATGAATAGGCGGAACCTCCCAACGTGTATTGGAAGATATTTTAATGTGGTCCGATTTCCTACTGAAAGGTCTGGGGGGGAGAGTAACAGGCTATGGAAGACTTTTCAAATTTTATTAGGTAAAACTTTGTGGACTTGCCTTTGATTGGGGGAGAATTTACTTGGTCATCTAATCGAGACCAACTTGTCCTATCTCGAATTGATCGGTTTTTGGTATGTGGGGCATGGGAGGCTAAGTATCCAGAGGTCACGCGAAAGAGATTGGGGAGGTTGTACTCGGACCATTTCTCCATTTCGTTATCTGGGAATGTAAGGCGAAATGGAAGAAGGCCTTTCAGGGATGTGGTTAAAAGTTGAAGGTTTCGAGGAACGAGTACGGAATTGGTGGGCATCCTATAACTTTAGGCGGTCTCCTAGTTATGTGTTAGATCGGAAATTGAAGGCCTTGAAAAAAGACCTCAAGAGGTGGAATGAGGAGGCGGTGGGAGATGTTAGCTATCGTAAAAATCAATGCCTAGCAGATATAGAAGAGTTGGATAGGAGGGAGGAAAATTGAGGACTAGTAGGGGATGATAGGGCAAGACATGGAGAGTTAAAGGAAGAGTTGGAGAGGTTGGTGGAGATGGAAGAGATTGCTTGGCGTCAGAAATCTAGGGTCATATGGTTGAAAGAGGGGGACAGATGCACCCAATTTTTCCATAAGGTCTCTAATTCCAACGGGTGCAACAATTCTATCACTATGTTGGAGGTAGATGGGGTTACTTACGAGGACCCACTAGTGGTGTCA